TTATGGTATATATGAGTGTGTGTGTATTTATGGTATATATGAGTGTATGTGTATTTATGGTATATATGAGTGTGTGTGTATTTATGGTATATATGAGTGTGTGTGTATTTATGGTATATATGAGTATATGTGTATTTATGGTATATATGAGTGTGTGTGTATTTATGGTATATACGAGTGTGTGTGTATTTATGGTATATGTGAGTGTGTGTGTGTGTATTCATGGTATATACGAGTGTGTGTGTATTTATGGTATATACGAGTGTGTGTGTATTTATGGTATATACGAGTGTGTGTGTATTTTTGGTATATACGAGTGTATGTGTATTTATGGTATATATGAGTATGTGTATTTATGGTATATACGAGTGTATGTGTGTTTATGGTATATATGAGTGTGTGTGAGTGTGTGGTATATATGTGTATTTTTGAGCCACACAGACAATGACAGTCAAAGAATGCGTGAATGTGTGTGTGCGCGTGCGTGTGTGCGCGTGCGTGTGTTGTCAAATCGTCTTTGGGACGATAATGATGTAATGTTGTCATAGCGATGAGACCGGACAGACGAGTCAGATCAGTGGAGACCTGAGGCGTGAACCATCTGAGCAATAAAACCATTACAACTCTGATAACTCAGTGGACGAGGTTCAAGGACAGACCATAAACATTTGAGAGAGAAGAGATCTGGTGTTTTCCTCCTGGTGAGTCACACAACTTTGAATATTTCACTTTTGTAACTTTGTGTTACAGCATATTTTATTTGTGATAATGATTCTGAGTTTGTAATCCCTGCTCTTTGATTGGCTGTGCAGTCCCGGCCACACACAGTCCATATTCCTGTAGAAGTAACATTACCATCAATTATATATTTTATATTTAATCTATTTTAATCCAGTATGACACAGATTCAGTTTTATCATTTACAGACCCATGGGATTGTGAAGAAACTATGGCGTGTACGTGTGTGTGCGTCCGTGTGTGTTAGTGCGTGAATGTGTGTGTGTGTGTGCGTCCGTGTGTGAATGTGTGTGCGCGTCCGTGTGTGAATGTGTGTGTGTGCGTGAATGTGTGTGTGTGTGCGCGTCCGTGTGTGAACGTGTGTGTGCGTCCGTGTGTGAACGTGTGTGTGCGTCCGTGTGTGAATGTGTGTGAAAGTGTGTGAACGTGTGTGTGTGTGTGCGTGTGTATGTGCGTGCGCGTCCGTGTGCGTAAGTGGGTGTGTGTGCGTGTGTGTGTGCGTGCGCGTCCGTGTGCGTAAGTGGGTGTGTGTGCGTGTGTGTGCGTAAGTGGGTGTGTGTGCGTGTGTGTGTGCGTGCGTGCATGTGCGCGCGTGTTCGTACGTGCGCGTGCGTGTGTGCAGAACCAACAGGTTTGATATCTGCAGGTAACAGGTTACCCCTGGACTCCACCGGGCGCGTCTCCGTTGACGCGCGTTGGCTGCTGTCCGTCAGACGTCCGTAAAACAGACTAGTGGTCAAACCGGCTGCAGCAGCGCGCAGCTCTGGCTGTGCGTTTATCAGCCTGCTTTGTTTTTGTAGGAGACATGTTTGGGCATTGTGTGAATGAATGAATGTTTGGCTGATGGAGGAGTTATGTATTGTCGGCGTGCATGTGTGCGTGAGCGTGTGCGTGAGAGCGCCCGTGTGTGTGTGTGTGTGTGTGTGTGTGGTGGGAGGCGTGTGCGTGCATGTGTGTTTGGGTCTGTGACTGCAGCGTTTATTATGATCCAGCCTCTTCGTTTGTTTTCTACTTATTTAGCGCGTCATACACTTTTATCGGACCCAACTCGCCTCTCCGCGGCTTTAGGCAACAGGCAGCCGCTATAGTTTTAAATAGAAGAAGCGGTGTGTGATGTGCATGAGCTGTGGCTATGATCAGTGCAAAGCACAGCATATTGAAGCATTGAGGACGTCGCGATGGATGAAGCAAAACTTATTGAAAGCAATTGGAAAAAGGGGAGAGAGAAAAGAACTAACATAAAAATACTGTGCAGCAGATAGATTGGGATCAGTTATTATTAGGTAATTGTAATATGAATAGTAAAACCTTAATAACAGTAATTGAGCAAATTATAATAAAATATACTTCTAAAATCAGGAGGGAAAGCAATAAAAATGTACTTCCGTGGATGAATTCAGATATCCTGAAAATGATGAAAGAGAGGGATCTTGCCTTGAAAAATGCTATAAAAACTAAAACTGTAAGTTCTAGAAAGTTGTTCACAACCCTTAGGAATAAGGTAGTCATGAGCATACGTAAAGCTAAGGCCAATTTTTTCTTGACCATAATTGAAAACGCCAAAGGAAACTCTAAAATGATCTGGGATCAACTGAAAAAACTACTAGGACATGACTTAAAAAAGAAAAAAATATTGGAATTGGAAATTAATGGGGAACTGACTAATAATTCAAAAACTGTTGCAAATGCATTTAACAATTTTTTTTTTGAGTCAGTATCCACTATTGCCCAGTCATTTCCACCCAATGACTTTGACGTGATTTGCTCCCAGCGAACCTCAGAGCCGGCTCTCAGACTAGGCACTGTTACTGAAGCTCAGGTTGCTCAAACGATTCAAACACTTAAATCATCCAGAACGAAAGACGTATTTGGCATTGACACAGTCACACTGAAAGAACTTGGACTCTCATTAATCGCTCCTATAACCAAAATAATTAACCAGTCCATCTCAGAATTAGTTTTCCCTAATGTATGGAAGTCAGCAGCTGTAATTCCACTCTACAAAAATGGTGATGCATTATCCGTCTGCAATTACAGGCCAATCAGTATAATTCCGACAGTGTCTAAGGTGGCAGAGAAACTTGTTGCGCAACAAATAATTTCACATTTGAACACTACTCCATTCACACTTCACCCGATGCAATTTGGTTTCCGGGCAAAACATTCTACAGAAACAGCTAGCTGTTTTTTCATTGAAAAAATCAAGCAACATTTGGACAAAGGTGGTGTGGTTGGGGCCGTCTTTCTGGATCTAAAGAAAGCCTTTGACACAATAAATCATAATATACTGCTCACAAAACTCAACACATTCAATTTCTCACCAGAAGCTACAAAATGGTTTGAGTCATATCTAACAAATCGGTCGCAGTCTGTCAAAATCAATGATTTCAGCTCTCCTCCCCTTCCTTTAAAGACAGGAGTACCACAAGGTTCCAACCTGGGTCCACTGCTCTTCTCACTCTACATAAATGACCTTCCCTCTGTTTGTTCCAATGTCTCCATTCAAATGTACGCCGATGACACAGTTATTTACACACATGGCAAAAATCCAACTCAAGTGGCAGATAAACTCTCTCAGTCTTTGGCTCATGTTACAGAATGGTTACATCAGTCCTGTTTAAAACTCAATATCAATAAAACTGTCTCAATGTTCTTTACAAGGTCCAACGTCAAAAATTCAACAGCAGATATCTATATGGCAGGTGAAAAGTTGCAAGTGGTGTCAGAATACAAATATCTTGGAATTACAATAGACTCAAACCTAACATTCAAAACCCAAATTAACAAAGTCTGCAATAAAGTCAAATTCAATATCTCCAACTTCCGGTTCATCAGGTCTCAACTCTCTCTGCAAGCAGCAAAAATGTTCATGTATTCCATGGTCCTATCGCACATAACCTACTGTTTAACAACTTGGTCTCAAGCAAATAAAACAACACTAAAGCCCTTAGAGTCACTTTACAAACGGACAATAAAAATTCTGGACAAAAAACCAATGAGGTATCATCACTGCAATATCCTTCAAAAGCACAAACTTTTAAGCTGGGAAAATCTCATTAAGTATTCAAACCTCTGCCTCATACATAAAATAATCCACAACCAATCATCTCCCCCACTCAGTCAGTTTGTCAGCATCAGAAACCCCACATATTTACAGCGGGTGACTAGAGGAGCAGCTCGAGGAGACTGCATAGTTCCATTTAGGAAAAGTGCCTTTAGTCAGAACACCTTTTCTGTAACTGCAGCCAAAGACTGGAACTCCATCCCAGCTAACATAAGAGATCTGTCCACTAACATACTGTTTAAAAAACATTTAAAGAACTGGTTCATTACTCAACAGTCTTGCAGTCATTAACCCCTGTCTGTATTATGATTCTTATTGTTTGCACTGTTTGTATTTGTATATAACCTGTATAGTGTAGTGACTGTGTCCTACTTTGTATTTTATTGCACTGACCGTAATGTTTTATTGTTTTATTGTCTTAGGGAGACTTTTTACATCTGTCCAGGGACTACGGATGAAAAATAGCCTTTTGGCTAATTCCGGTGCATTTACAGAAATGTTGATTAATGTACACTGTCCCTGTCAAATAAATAAATAAAAAAAAAAAAAAAAATATCCTGTGTGTGTGTGTGTGTGTGTGTGTGTGTGTGTGTGTGTGTATGTGTGTGTGTGTGTGTGTGTGTGTGGGAGCGAGAGAAAAAAGAGCAAGGTGTATGTAAAGATTAGCGTATTAATATTACGCGAAAAATAAATGGTAGATTTACGATCAGGAAACAATTATTTAAATGAATACATGAAAAACATTACACACGTTTGTTAATAATCATTGTCATTAACAAATACTTATAACCAAGGACTACAGCATATCAATACATGTTTAACAATGTTGTAAATATATTATTCCATTGTATTTTCAATGGAAAACGGACCCGACGCGTCGACGGACGGAACAAATAGGATTGTTTCTATTTCGTCCGTCCACGTCTTTTGCACCCTCCGTTGACGGAATAGGTCCGACGTGCGTTGGACGGACGCATGCGGAGGCAGTGGAGCCACTTCCATTCACCCTCACGGAGATGAAACGGACATGTTTGGACGGATCCGTCGTCCGTTTTACGCGCCCGGTGGAGTCGGGGCCTTAGAGTGTGTAGAGTGAGAGGTTTTACAGTTGTTTTCATGTTTACATGTTTGTTTTCATAGAATCAAAGATACATTTTGTTGCTTTCTAAATGAACTATGTTTCTGTGCAGGTTTGAAGATGGCAGCACAGAATGTAGTGGAAATCAAGAAGTCACTGACGAAAGATATCCTGACGATCATCTCTGACATGAGGGAGATAACTATAAAGCTCACCTGGGCTGTTTGGATGGATGTACTTATGGTATTTCTTCTTGTCCTGGTGGTGGTCTTTTGGATCCTCTGGGCCCTGGTTAGTCCTGTGGTTGGAGTCCTCTCCATGATAGGGTTAGTCCTGGCTCTTGGATGTGTGGTGTGGTGCAGACCTAAACTTCCCAGTCCTGTTCAGGCTGTGTCAAAGCTGGATGCACTGAGCATCCGACTGAATGACCGAGTGAACGCCCTGAAGGAGACGCTGCAGGAGGAGCGAGACAATGCGTGGTTTCCATCTTTGAACAGCAGGTGGCGCAGTCTCGAGGAGCTGGAGGTCCTCACACAAGACCTGATGATTCTCGTCTCCCGGTTCAATCCAGAGTTTCACTCAGATATGAAACAGAAACTGGGCATGTGTGAGAGTCTTATGGGCAACATCTCCCCATAGACTGTATACAGATGCTAATGCTAACACAGGCTGTATACAGATGCTAATGCTAACACAGACTGTATACAGATGCTAATGCTAACACAGACTGTATACAGATGCTAATGCTAACACAGACTGTATACAGATGCTAATGCTAACACAGACTGTATACAGATGCTAATGCTAACACAAACTGTATACAGATGCTAATGCTCTCTCTCTGGTCCCTCTCTCTGCTCTCTCTCTCTGGTCCCTGGTCTCTCTCTGGTTTCTCTCTGCTCTCTCTCTCTGGTCCCTGGTCTCTCTCTGGTCTCTCTCTGGTTTCGTTCTGGTCTCTCTCTGGTCTCTCTCGCTCTGCTCTGTCTCTGGTCTCTCTCTGGTCTCTCTCGCTCTGCTCTGTCTCTGGTCTCTCGCTGGTCTCTCTCGCTCTGCTCTGTCTCTGGTCTCTCTCGCTCTGCTCTGTCTCTGGTGTCTCTCTTCTTTCATGTGGATTTTTCCAGTAATGACCAGTGGCGTCTCTGGCATGAAAAGTTGAGTGGGGCACAAGAGTGGGCACTTTACATCCACTAACAGCAAAACATGCACAATAAATCCAATTCAAGACCACAGTCTATTTTTATGCACAGCCTAACGTATTAACCCCATGAATAAAACCTTTGAATAGTTAAAAATAAATCTGAAATATTCAACTCAATAGAATCAGAATCCTTTTTAATGCCATGTAAGTCAGGAACAGGAAGACTTATTACATTTCTTTGGCTCAGTTGAGCAGTCAGAAAAGAGAGGTAAAGAGGAGAGAAGGCATAATAACAATCAGCAACATTTTTAAGGAATTAAATTTAAAATAGAATTATGATTACAATTACTATATACACAATATACGAGTTCACATGGTGCACACAGTTTGTAGTAAACAGTGCAATAAGGTGCAGCAGTAAAGTGAGGATGTGATGGCATTCATCAGTGTTCATTTTTTGAATAGAATGGAATGCACGCCGATCTTTCATCTGGGCAAACTTGTCAATAACCCGTCTGTCAAAGTCCTTTAAGCCACGAATTAATTCATTTTCAATGGACAACATAGCCGGTGCATTCAATCTCTGCTGCCCCATGGTGTTTCTTGTAAATGTCTTTATCCTTTTTAGCGTTGAAAAGTTCCTCTCAGACTCTGCTGTGGTCATTGGTGTGGTGATAATCATTTTGATCAGTGACACAGTTTCTGATAATGCATCCTGTAGGTTGTTGTCAAAGATCAGCTGCAGCAGTGACAGAGTGTTGCCAGCATGCAGCTCTGAGTGACTGTACAGGGACTTCAGCTCAGTTTCCAGTTTGACTTTATTTCCAATTGGCCAGATTTTATTTGCTGCTTCAAACATAGCACAGGGAAATGATTTGCTGAAGTTAGTGAAAAGTGTGCAGTCCACAAGCTGTGCAGCAAACAGGTGATCGCTGGAGCTAAACCTCTCCTCCACTTGAGCAACCAAAGTGTCACACGCTTCCCTCATCACTGCTGCAGTGTTTGTTTTCCTCCGTTTCTTCGGCGCTGCCTCACTCTCCTGAGCGATGTCATCCACATTGTCCCTTAGGCGACTCACAACGTCTTTGAAGCTGTCCATAGCACGATTAACTGTGGTCGCATCGACACTGCGTTTTTGCACTGTGTTGTACAGAATGTCCACTTCTGGCATAAGCTGGTAGAAAAACTGCAGGAACTGTAAAAATGTCTCATCCTCCAGGTACATAGCGAGACCATACTGTAGGATAAATTAAAATGACCTCTTTCCTCAATCAAAGACATTTTGTTGTATATTGAGACATATTATAACTTCTGTCTCAACTGTGTGTAAATCCTTGTGGTTCAGGTTTTATTGTGGGCAAGAATGTCTTAAGATAAGTGCCATGGCAACACCCTTCCCCCAACGACTCTACAACAAGGGAAGACAAACCAGTCTGCTTTGGAACCACGGAGTGACCAGACCTCCCTGGGCTCTGCCCTGGGCTCTGCTCAGGAAACCAAAGGGCCTTGGGCCTCTTAGATGGCCTCAAACCTCAGCTCCACGTCTGAGAGGACTTCCACAACCCTTCAATAGCCTCCAGCTTCAACCTGAAGAAGTTGCTGAGTTTTGGCACCTAGACTGTGGATCGTGGGAGGACCACATGATGCAGCCGCATGGTCCAGGCCCTGGGGACAAGAAGCCTCCATCCAACGCCATCAAGACCTAAGGACTGCTATTCACCAAAGGCTATTCTGGTTGTATGATCCGCGCTCTTGCTACACACAGTTGTGGGCTTTATTAAAACCTATACTTCAAAGAATACTTCTCCTACCAAGGCTGAACACATGCAGGCCTCAGTCTATACCAATCCATTCATAGACAAAGGTCTTGCTTAGCTCACTTTAGCCTAGCATTTTAACAATGTATCTTGAAATCAACGTTTCCTTCATGTTATTCTTGACAATTTGCATAATTCATATCTAGTCTGTATTCTGTTTACTTCATTAAATCTACAAAACCATCTTTGTCTGAAAGTGATATTTGTACTTTTAACTCCAGAAATTGGGTCACTGATTTGTAAAAGAATTCACTACCTTCAGATTCTATTGAAGAGAATTGGACTAACTAGCTAATTAAATAATGAAAGGACTCATGAGATTACTTAATCAATAAATGAGCCAATTAATTGATATTGTGACGTCATATGCACGTTATCAGTTGGGAGTTATTCCCTGGTGCCCCTAAATAAAGCTATTATCAATTATTGTATTTATTACATGGTTGTTTTTATCCAATTCTCCGATATCAGGTACATAACTTAAGTTATGTGTGATATCGACATTTTCTCACCCTACAATACGCTTCACGAATCGTAATGCTGTCCTATCCAGGTTCTGTGCGGAGATTATCCAGACAAGATTTGATATCACGCAGGTTCTCCCAAACAGCATTTACCGTTCTGCTCCTGAAATTCCAACGAGTCGCTGCTGGCCTCGGGATGCGCCGCGTAGATGTGTCTGAGAGTGAAATGTAGCAAAGGCAGATAGATCAGCAAAAAAAACTTTCAGCTCTGAAATTCTTGTTGCGCACACCTGCTGCAAAGTCAGATTTAGCTGGTGCGCGTAGCAATGCACGAACTGCGCGTTTGGGTACTTTTCCCTGATCAGTGTCTGGACGCCTCGGATATGCCCACTCATGACAGCTGCACCGTCGTATGTTTGTGCAATTCATTTTTCCTTTAAAGCGAATGGCTCGATGGCCTCTTGTATCACACTTGCCAGACCTGGTGCTGTTTTGTCCCTCACTTCAATGAAACTCCAAAATCTCTCTTTCACTGTTGTCCCAGTCATATAACGCAGCACAACCACTACCTGGGATTTACATGACACATCTGTGGTTTCGTCCGCTTGCACTGCCACATAGGGAGTAACAGACACCTCCTTCACAACTTCTTCTTGATAAACCTCAAACATACACTGCAAAAGTTTATTTTGAATTGTCGCCGAGGTCCCTTTGAAGTATGGCTGTGATTCGTAATGTCTATTGAGTCTGGAATCACCCTCACACATCGTCTCAAAAATACTACGAAAAATGCCAGGATTGACAGAAGCTGCAGAGTCATCACGGCCGCGTAAAGCGATTTCACATTTACCACAGAGTTTTAGACATGTGACGATTCGTCCAAGCACATACCGGTTTTCCTCAGTTTGCTGGTTGTGCAGTTCAATGGCACGCTTGTGGGCGGAATCCAACTGGGTCGCAATGTTAGCGGTACCAAGCAAACCCAGTTTCAGGGAATTGTCAACATGTGAGCCACTGCTCTCATGTTTGGTCAAACGTTCTGAAAGATGCTTCAAATCTTTGAATCCCACTGTAGTCCAGGTAGTCTCTCCTCCGAACAGCAGGCAAGGAAAACAAAACAGCGACTTTCTGGTCCAACAGGCAGTGAGCCACGTTTTCCTCTTGAACCATTCGGAGTTGAAGGAGCGGGTTTTGTCCTTTCCCGCTTGAACAATATTAAAATCCGATGGCTGATGCGGTCCCAGACGTTTAATTTCTAATTTTTGCTCAAGTGGAAAAGTGCTAAATTTAGCCTTCATCAAAGAATCTATATGATTCATATTGCTGGTTTGCTTCAAATTTTTTAGCTCTGGATGAAAAAAACTAGCTTGCTTCTGTATCTTGATATCCGCCAAAACTGAACGTGCTGCATACGTCGTCACGCATTTGAGTCCAATATTTTGTGTACGTGTTGACGTATTTGATCCGAACATTTTAATTGGATGATATCGGCCTTGGGGCCGCAATAACTGTGCCCCACGGCCGTCTACTGAGACCAGTTATGGACATGCGCACTATGGTTTTAGTGGCTCATCACTTAAACAAGCGCTCAGGGGCCGGCCCCATTTCATTTTTATTGTGAGAAGTTAGGTAATTGTTTTTGGTTTTGGCAAAGCCTATGATTTATACATACATTTTTATGAAATAATTAATTAATTTGACACAATATTTTTTTAATAAAATATTATTTTATGGATTATTACTCTATAAAGAAGACCAATTCTATAGACAGTTATTTTGAGACTGCATAGTGCTCAACAGCGCCACCTGGTGGGGCCGGGCCCCACTGGTCCAAAAGTGCAAAGACGTCACTGGTAATGACCCAGAAATCGGCTGAACTAACCCTAGACTCTCCACAGCCACAGTTTACTGTAGAGAAGTCTCTGCTCTCCTCATCACTGTGAGCAACTAAAGGCAGTCAAACACAGACGTTGTGATATCACACACAGACGTTGTGATGTCACACATGTTTGCAGACAGAGAGCGTGACGCCGCAGTGTTACACGGTCAGGGCACTGGAGCGGCGGTAACCCACGGCGACGGGCACGGCATGCTGGGAAAATAGCGTTAAACCTGGGAATCTGTGGCAGCGACGGGAGCCGGAGACGAGCCTCCAGAACACTCCATTATTTATGTCAATCAAACATATGACACGGGAGCAGCTTCTCCTTTAAAGCTCAG